CGTACGTCCGTACTTCAGTACAAACTCGATTTACTGGCAGTCACAGAAGCTCGCTTCCAAGGAAAAGGGACGCATGATCTACAGGATGGGTGGTCATTTTGGTTGTCAGCCTATAGCACATTACCCCGCGCCGGTATGGGTATCCTCTTGTCCCATGGGGTAACCCGGACGGTAATTTCGATCGAACAGATGTCGGCGAGAATCCTGGTCTTTCCCGTTGATGAAAAGTGGGCCACACCAAATGTCATTTTCGCTTCTGCTCTGACAGATGTCGAGCGACAGCGACAAAGACGCTTTCTATAAATGCCTGCAGTCGGTTTTTATCGTTTTGTTGCGTCGCAACGTTGTAGATTAACTCTAAGCGAGGATGGTCGCCGAGTACATCACATGGCCGTACTCAGCCGTCACGATATTGACACGTGAAAGACAACAGGCGTCGGTTAAGATTTTGCGCCAAAACAGCATAATTGTCAGCGAGACTTTTTTCCTCAAAAGCGTATCGCCAAACCACCTGGAAGTTCCCCGATGTAAGCTTAAACACTCAGTTAGACAACGTCCTTGTGAATCGCAAATGGCACAGCTCGCATCAGGCATGACGCCTGCATTGGGTCTGATCATCATGTGACAGTACTGGACCTTCGCCTAAAATTACCCGTGTCCCATCGACGCGGTATGGTTTAAACACATGCAATGTTGAAAAGCTGAAATATGGCGAAGTGTCGCGGTCGGCTTGCCTAAAGGAGGTAGAGATTTATGTTAATGCAATCCTTATGCCCAGTCGTCAGTGAAGTTTACGAAAACTTCAAAGAAGCCGTCATTTCCTCAGAGAAAAACGTATTCAGAGTCAGGAAGAGTCAAGCCAAATAATGTCAGCCAAACTGTCCTGGATTACGGAGATTATAGCTCTTGGAGTGCAAATGAATCAGGCAAAGATTGCACAGTCACTCTACCCTCGAAGGCAGCCTATCGCTGTAGCGGTCATGCAGTCAACCAGAAACCAGACCTACGCGGCGGACAGGTAACTTTGTCTGGAGAGCGTAATCGGACAATCATACAGATAGGCGACGCCAACAGAATGGGTGAGTGGTGGTGGTATTTGAAATGGTGCGACAGTTGTTCGGTAAGCAGAGAACTGTCTGCCCTTATCCAAAACGTTAAGGGTGTCTCACTGGCAGGTCAGAATGAACGCCTCAAAAGATGGACTGAAAATTTTCAATTGCTGTTTGACAGTTGCCCTCGGTTACTTCCGATCATTCTCTGCCAACATTAGAGATTATTATGGATCCATCCAAAAACTTGAAATCCAAAAGCCTTACTACACCTAAAGGTGAAGAAGGTCTGCGTAGGTATGGTAGAAAGCTCTATCCCTGTTTCGTCAAATGTGGGTCTACACATGTTTTCCAGGAAAACGGAAATGTGGTGTAATTTTCCCTATA